GTAATTACTAGCAGTGATTCATATTAGAATTAAAATATATATAATAATTATTAATAGTGTTAGTAAGTTAATTGGTTTTTTTTATTTAATTAAATTTTTATTGTTATTTAAAGAAACATAAATCTCTGTTCAGTATTTATAACAACGATGATTTGAATTACCTAATTCAAGTTTTTATGTTTTGACATCTCGTATTGAATAGTCCTGTCTTCATTCTTGTCATACTTTTTTTCTTTGGTTTATTTTTACTTATGAGTTTTTTTTTTTATCGTATTCTAGCGTCATGTCATTTGTCTTATTATCATAATTTATGCAAACATTTTATCTTACTATATAATCTATATGAGTTGTTGGAAATGGGTGCATGTAGCCTTGATTATTTGCCTCTTATTATGGAAACTACTAGAATATTTTTTTAATGGTTACTTGTCTTAACTGCTAAAAAATGATATTATTTGCTATTTACTCGAAATACTTGCATTTTTTCTAACTAGCCTAGCAGTTGGAATACTGCGTGTGAATCACTAGTATAACTGCTAATTGTTAGTATCGATAAGGTAGCGTGACATAACAGTAACTGTTGAAGTATGTACAGTTTATATTGCTGATAAGCTTGAGCGGCAGCGGCCGACTCGATCCGAATTTCTTCGAATGATTCCTTTTTGCTTTACCGTAGTTAGTCGTATATATAGCTCCACGTGATGTAAACGCGTTTGCGCTTGGTCTTTGATGACCATTAAAATATGTAAGTTTTGAATTAATTAGTTATAATAAATAATAATAGTTGTACTTTCAAGTTTGTTATCATCCAACCAACCTGATCCCCAACCAATTTAAATTAAATTTAACAGTAACTATAAATCTGTAAAAATTATGAAGGGTTGTTACTATTATAAAGATGAAGTATGCATAGTTTGAGATTTTGTTAATAAAATAATTATCATTCTATTAAACATCTTATATGAAAAAACACTTTTAACGCTATAGTATAGTAAGAAAAAGCACTTTAAATGATATAGAAAAATGTTTAGTATGTAAATCGGTAACACATCTGAAAACGTTTCGTCATAAGAGAGAAGAGTGAGAATTGTGAAGAGAAAGGCAAGTTAATGTTGCAATAATCAAAAGAATGATATTTCCATCCATTTAATATTCTTTGTATCAACACACCTCTTACTTTTCCTTTGGCAGCGTCAATAGTCCAAAATGTTTTATTTAAAATCTGGCATAAAAATTTACATTTATCGCATCAGTAAAACAATTGATAAAAATGACATATAACTTTCTAAATGTATGAAAATTTTAATTAAAAATTATACGAATTTCATTCTTCTTTAAAAGAAAAAAAAAAGATGGAAAAATAGTAAAAAGATAGCTTCGAGTACTCTGGGAAATTATATTTAAGTTGATAAATCTATATTTGAGGAGGTACAATTTAAACGTTTCAAATGTATTTTACAAAGTAAAAGGAAATATGTGTGTATGTTATGAAAGAGAAACTAATAATTCATTTCCATATTTTCCATAAACGTTGTGGGTTATATAACCACTCGAAAAGCAGTTAAATTTGTTTTTACATCGTGAAAGTGTACTTATTTTGCCTCAAAGATGTCTATTTTATAAAAAAAAATGAGACAAAGAGAGAAAAAGAAAAAGAAAGATAGTAATTGTAACAGTTAATAACTTTTCAAAGTTCCAAAGAATTATTTGCAATTCTTTTTTTTTTTTATTGTTATACATTTTAATTAAAATTTTCGTTCAAACTCTCATTTCAGTACTGAAAATCATAAAAAAAATAATTTGATATCAAAGTTCTTTTAAGTTCGAAATTACACTTTTCTAAAAGAAAGAAAAAAAATATGAATGATATGCATAAATCAATAAAGAGTTTGTATACAACGTAGTAAACGTGCTTTTTATCGAATGATTAAATCTTTTTGCAAATAAATATTCCTCTATATAATAGTAAATTATTTTTTCGGATTTTCGATATCAATTCGAATGAAGATCAACATGGGGAGATAGGGAGGTTATTATTTACATAATATTTTGACGAAATTGTGATTTTGATTTATTCCTAAATAATATTAAAAACAACTATTTTATTTTTATCAATATAATTATTTTTCTCTTTTACTAAGGAACAAATTGAATTTTTATAAGATGTTCTATGAATACAAAACATGCTACTCAATGCTGAGGAAAAAAAAGAATATTAAACAAATGAACTTGAACCAATTGTATCTTTGATATAATTCTATTTATAATTAAATATAAAATATAAAATATTTCTTTAAATCATGTCAAATATTAGTAAACGTGACAGATTAAAAAATAAAAAATGTTGGTAAAACAGATTATTCAAATGTTGTTTATTTAAAAAAAAAAGAGAGTACAACAGTACAAAGTAAAATAAAACAAAAGAAAATTCTCATCGTGCGTAGTTTTTTATGAGACGTTTAATAGGAACAACAAAATGGGCCAACAGAGAGAATGAACTTTCTAGATAGAAAATTAGAACATGGCAATAGCTGACAACGCGGATGGTAAAACGCGTACGAGAGAATATTACAGGGTCGAAGCATTGTATCCAAATGCAATTAAGTGCCTTTCATTGACTCCCTTGTGTAGGCCGATTTACGCAATGACTCTCTATACCTCGTTAATCAGTCGAATCTCTGAATGAGCTTCGAACCTCATAGTGGCTTTGTATTCAGTCACCGCTTAAACCATTAGAACGATTTGAAATTTCTATTCGAGCTAATACCATTCTATATTTGGAAAATTCTATATTAAATAATTTACTATTTTTATTATTATATATTTTTTTTATATTTTTATTCATTCGATCAATTTTTTTTTTTCTATACAATTGTAATTGATATGTAAATTTGTTTTAATTTATGATTGGTACGTTTTTTTGTTTTTTGTTGTTGTATTTTTTTTAAGGATCAGATTGTTTCAAAAGTTACACGAGCGTCAATATTTTATTATAAATATCTATGATTGTAAATAATATTAATTAAAAATATTTTCTAATACATTTATCCCTTTTAATATATAGGATAATTCATATTATCTTACTAAAAATTTCTAATTTTAATTTTCGCCTAATTTCTCGACAGATATAATACTTATTACATACAAAAAAAAAAAAAAAACACAAAGAACGTATTAAATACTATTTGCTGGAAAAAGAAAACATATTTTATTTGAATAATCGATGAATTTTATTATATAAAAAAATCATATAGTATAATAGCCTGACCAACTATTGTTTCCTTATACTATTTTTCCTTTTTATTTTTAGTAATAGCAAATATTGAATAAAAAATAATTAATGGATAGAAAATAAATAGTTTAAATGATAGTGCGTGAACGTTTATCGTTTGATCGGTGTTCGGTTGAAGGGAGGGAGGGTGAAAGGGTAGGAGGGTGGAGATAAGGGGGGGGGCGGTTAAAAAAAGCATTTCATCGTTTGAAAGCGTCGATAGAATGAGTGCGCATTTACTCGCTTCACTGGCATACGTAGATGTATATCCGGGTAGTGTGTGGTATTTGATTGTCACGTATTCGTGACAATCAAATAGTCATATCTGTTAAACTCATGCGTTATTCAAGTGGTTCGTTGTTGCACAAATGGAATAGTATACCTTGTCAAAACACTATGCGTTGTGTCGACAAAACTGTATCACCATTTTCGAGTTTCCGCACGTTGCCGCTCGTAGTGGATCCTGAATTTTGTCGCAAAGTGCGAGGATGGGCAATGATATCAAACGAAATCGAAACTTTGTCATGCGTTAGAGTTTAATAATAGATTATTTCATATATATATATATATAGAAAGAGAGAGAGGGAATGATCTGTTATTTCGAACATTATCCAGATTATGGGTTTATGGGTCAAATAAAATGACCGGACATTTAATCGACGAAAAATCGAATTCATTTTCACTTGAACTGATTTGATCATCGTATTCCATGCTTATTGGGGCTTCGTAATTTTGAAAATAATATTCCTGATGTCTGATATTGAGTGTCTATTTCAAATTAATTATAGTCGAAAAAGAAGCTTTATATAAACATGTATGTAATGTATTTAATATTTTTTGTTGTTTTTGGACGTATGTATTTTTGATGGCATTTATGAATCATTATATTTCGAATTATCGCGTTAACCTAGTGTGATATGACCGAGAGAGTAACTTATCGAACGCAAAAGAGGGTTAATAATAATAATGATTAAAGCTTCTTGGAATCTTATGAGTGGTTCTTATATTATATAACACAAGGAAACTCGGTTAATTGTTTTCCTAGACAAAGAGGTAATTATGTTATAAGCTAGGTACACATAGAGAAGATAATAACAAACTTGTGGTAAATTTCGATAGTCTCTCGCAGGTCTTTGAGATCGCTAAAGGTTTCGTTTCATCGTGACGAAGTCTTTTTAACGTCACTTCAAACATACACACATGATGAATACGTACACACACACACACACATATATATATATATATATATATATATATATATATATATATATATATATATATATACTTATACATANTATATATATATATACTTATACATAATGAGAGAGACGCATACAAAAGCCCTTCTGGTACCTTTGATGTTTTTGCAGAGTGGCAGAAAACGAGGGCACTTAAGTATCTCATCGATCGTTCGAAGAGGTGAATATTATAATAGACGGTGAGGGTAACGGTGAGAAAATAAACAGTACGACGTGTCCTTTGCTTTTCTTGTTTTTTGTTGAACATTCGCTTAAGAACAAAAATTTTTATACTTTTTTTTTTCTCGTATCATTTCTATATATTCTTTATATATTTTTGTTTTCTTTTATGCACTCATCCCTATATATATATTTTGCTTAATTCTACTTTCATTTTTGTTCATTATTAATTTAACAAATAAAAATTATTCTTATTCTGTGTGAGAAGATTTTAATTAATTTTGAACAATGGGTATACAGAATACAATTGAGTTAAGAGTAATAACGTTTCTTTGGTAATAGAAATTTGGAATGAAATGGAAATGAAATAAGAATGTAAGATATCGTAGAATATATGAATATACATAGTGACATTAAATAGAATATTTTCTAACGGTATTTCCCATATTCATGATCGTTTCCATCACTGTTGTATACGTGAGCGTAAAATCCATTTTTTCCTGCATGATACTTGACGGTTCTAATATTACCACCTGGTTCCTTTACTGTATATTCTCCAACTACTTCTTTACCTGTATTAATAAACAAAATATTGTTAGTAATATTTCATTCTCATAAATACAAATAAAATTTTGGGTAAGTTGTTAACATTTTAAAAAAATTTGACAACTTCATTTACTCAAATAAATTTCATTAGTACTTAGTGACACATGCATTTATTTTTGGATGAATTCAATTTAATATTATTCCTATGGACATGCATGATTATTATATCATACTGAAAAATGTGATTCCAATTAAATCAAAATATATGAACAGCTTATGTCTATTATTTGTTGAATATAATTTAATATCATTTTCATTGTGACACAGATAAAGATAATGTATCCAATTGAAAGTGAATATAAAGTTTTCATGGTCTTAAAAATATCAGATAACATTCTTTGATCATACAAATTTCATTAGTCAAGTTAATCATCCGGGATTATGGTAATAAACTAAGAAATGTGATTAGTACTTCACCTATACATACGCACATGTACTTGTTCTATGATTAGATTAGTCTAATATTATTCTCCTAAACATAGATAGACATTTATGTAGGTTAAGATGCAGTAGATGCTTGTTTTAAAAGACTTTGATAACTTGCCTTGCTAGAACTAATTTCATTCGTCTGGTTTAATCATCAAGTATTATAATAACATACCAAGCAAAACGTAATTCCAACACTATCATATATTTACTGGCTTAAATCTATCTGTTCCTTTAATAAGTGCAATCTCGTAATCATTCTCATGAATATAGATAAAGATTAATGTAGGTTAAGATGAAGTTCTTGGATTTAAAATACTTTCATATGACTTGATCTATTCTAACAAATTTCATTTGTCAAGTTTAATGATCAAGTATCATGGTAATATACCAAGAATTCCTTTAGTTATATCTATATATATATATTATATATATATGTATATATGTCTGGTCTTTGACGAACGCAATGGAATCCTCAAATTCGTCCATCATTCTGGTGTCTCTTTGTACAGACCAAGTTCTAACTAAGCATACTTGGATTAACGTGTCTCTTTGAAAACGAAGATCCTGTGTGTGTGTCTGTGTGTGCTTGTGTGTCGTGCTTATAATTACTTCTCTCACATAATATTACGTTCTTGTTAAGTCTATTAAAGTGGCTGCGGGTCTAACTTAACAACGATGCTACAAACGAAATAGAGAACATCAAACAGATATTCCAGAACTGTTTTAAGCTCTCAAAGTGAACGGTTTACATTCTGTTAAAAATTTTCTTTCCAATTTTTGTTTTAAATTAGAAAGGTAAACACACACAAACGCATGACGTGTGTGTGTGTGTGTTGCTGGTTAGAATTTGCAAGCTTATGGTTAATGCTATTCATTTAATTAGTTTGATCGTCTTTTATCGAGATATAAAAGTGTTGTGTAGTAAAAGGAAAAAAAAATAAAGTAGAAAAGCAACGGAGTTATACCTTCAAAAAGAAAGTCGTGAAATAATTTTATTGAATGAATATTTCGCGAAATAATTGGTAATGATATGATGCAACCTAATGAATGACAGGAAAAAAAAGTTCAAACTCTAGAGATTCATATTTATGAGGTATATCCTTTGATTAAGAATCCAATTAACGTGTATGGGGGTTAAAGTATTACAAAATTTTAATCACGTAGTACTTTGATAAACCATACACATTTTTTCCTTTCTCTTTTCTTTTTGTTTTTATTCTTTTTATAATATAAAATTGATTTATATGCGAACATACTTTGCGAGTTGTTGTGAGCGAAAATGATATTACAAATTGAAGTTGTCTCGATGAGATTGAAACACATTGATTCAAATTTGTATTTTCATCATTTTTCAAATTTCATGCAGCCAAAGTATTTAAATAATTTAGATTATTCTATGGTGTTCATGTATAGGAAAAAAAATCAGTGACATTAATTTTTCGACAGTGTTTGATAAAAAAAAGAAAAAGCAAAGAAAAAGACAAATTGAATTCTTGTTTTTGTTCTTACCATTCCGGTGTTCCTTTTGTCCATGATAATCACCGGTATGATGGTCCTCGACACCATAAGAGAATTCATAGTGAGGATGTGCTACGTAATCGTGATCGTGATGGCCATGTTTGTCCTTCCAAGTCACTTCATGACCTTCACCAATGACTGGACCGTGAAAATGTTGAAAGGAATGTGCATGACCAGCAGATTTTGCGTTCCTTGGCATCACCGTGCTGAGGATAATTATGATCCCGAGTAACTAGTTGTGTTAACATACATAACATCAAAGTTAATGCCCAGAACTTGTCAATTATTTATTATTCGCTCATTTATTTTATTAAATATTATATTTTATTGCAGTATTTTTCAACCTTAGCGGTCACCGAATATTATTGATAACGTAATTAAATTATTCAAATAATATAAAATAAATTTCGATACATAAAACGAAATTAATATTAAAAAACAAGCTAAGAAATATAATATTTTATCTTAAATGAAAAAAAAAGATATTAATATCGTTCCAAAAATAGTATATAATAAAAATTATGATTCACAAATAATTGGAGCAAATGTATCGGTCAGTGCAACAAAAAATAAAAAAAATTAATGAACACTAATCTTTAACGTTAGATTGATACCACCAAAAACTAACAAATATCGTGCAATAAAATATCACCATTTTTGTGCACTAACTTTGAAAGACACCATTTTAACAACTAAAAAATCGGTAATAATAACTCCAATCGGTATCCCGTGATCGTTAGAAATAAGAATGACCGGTTAGAATATCTCGTTGCCTTTTTATAGGTCTAGTTTTGAAGTTGACATAAGATCCGTTCCTTTTTGGATATCTGGGAGACTTTGATTGAATATTCTCCCTCCCTCCCACACCAATCAATCCATTTCCCTTTTCAGAACCATCTAGTAAACGACGACAACAACAACCATCACCATCACTACCACTTTGCAAAACACAATTATTCAAGAGAAAATAAAAAAACAAAGGAATCGTCAATGATGTTGTTGCTCGCTCGAGCGTAAATTAACCAATCCTAAGATTAACCACAGAGTTGAATTGTTTGTTCATTAGAGTGAAAAGTATGATAGAAAGAGATCGAATGATCTAAGAAAAACGTTTCTAACTCTTTTTCGGCAATGTTATCGAACCGAAAAAGCCACACTGTGTGTGTGTGTTGATGGTATAGTAACTTCGATAACTCGCGTCACGCACGGTGAACTTATTCCTTCGTTGGTTGGTTGGTTGGTTGTTACGAATGATCGACTTTCTTTCTCGTTAAAGAAAAAAAAAGTCTTTTGTCATCGTCGATCTCCTGCTCCTGTTCAATATTATCTTCTTATCCTTCTGACAGAATTCTCATTTCGAATCCAACGAAAGCAACCGAATCCAATCGGTTTTATACAAGTAAGTATAAGAACCTTTCCTATTTTTCACTTTTTTTTAATTATTATTTCTTATATTCTGTTTGCTTTCATCGATTATTATTAGATATATTATTTTTCATACGTTGTTGCAAATCATTTTTCTTATCATTGTTCTTGTTTTTATATTACCCGTGATATCGTTTCAACATATTATAAATATAAGCTGGTCTTTTACGATCATTTAACATCGATTAACATTTTAAATGGATTGATTAACATTTCTTGTTTTGTGTATTTTTTTTTTTTTTTATTTTTTTTAAGTTTATAGTTTAGTTCAGTTTAGTTTAGTTTAGTTTAGTTTAGTTTAGTTTATAATTATATCAAATGTCTATTTAATTCTGAATAAAATAGAATTATATAAAACTATATTTTTTTTTTTTTTTGTATATAAAAGTATACGTAACTTGTGTTTTTACTTGAAAATATTTTTTATGTATTGGAAAACGTATTTCGGAAGACAGAAAATAAAAAAATCGTATATATTAGTTAGTATCAATTAAATTCATAATTTTAGATTTTAATTTGAACTTTTATTATTAATCCTTTTTTTATTCATTTAATTGATCAGTTTTTTAACTTAAAAGATATTTAAAGTCATCCAAATTAACATACAAATTATTATCGTTGGATGATAATATTGTATTTAAAATATAAATATCAAATGTTTCAATTGTAAATTATAGTAATATCTCATACTTAAATATGAGTAGGGTATTTCTTCTTTAATAATAATTTTTATATGTTAGACATAAACATTGATTAATATTAATATTTAATATATAGAAGATATTTAATCATTTACATGTACGATTAATAATAGAAAATGAGTTATTTTCATTATAAAGTATTTCTATTGTAAATGTTTTTCTTACATAATACAGTTGGCGGATTTTGATTATCATCTTTTATCACGAAAAGAAGTTTGTCGAGACGTATAGTAATCAAACGACGAAAGATGAAAGTCCATTTAGTAGTAGTATAGGTTCAGCATAAGAGTAACATGAGTAAGAAGGAAAAAGAGTGTGTGTATGAGAGAGTGAATGAGTGAGTGAGTCAAAGAGAGAGAAAGAGATTTTGGCACACGATGTGCTGGAATGGCGGAAGTGCTCGAAGAGGCGCTCGGCTTTTGAGTTATGACACTTTTTGAGTGGAGAGAAGTCGCATTGTGAAAGGCGCATCCGGCTTCAGTGTAATATCCTTGCTCGATTTCAGGTCCGGAGACCGACGATAAATCTGCCTTAAATAAGATTTGCCGACGACACACGTGCGAACGAGAATAAAAGGAACGTTAATGTTGAAGGACTTAACAGTGAGAGTGAAAGGATAAGAAAAAAAGAAAAAGAAAAAAAAACAAACGAAAAAAGAAAGGAAAAAAAGAAAATTATAATAAAAAAAGAAATGGGGGATGATGGAAAGAAAGAAAAAGAAGGATGATAAAAGGGCGGGGGTGGGGGTTGCTGAAGACTTAATTCCTTATTAAGCTTTACGTGTCCTTTTTTCCTTTCTTTCTTTCTTTCTTTCTTGAACTTCTTTCCTTTTCGTAACATTTTATTCAACCTCATTCGAAATTCAATTTTGTCGGGAATAAACGAGCTTGTTCTTTTTAAGCAGCAATCTCAGGCTTTTAATGACGAAGAAAAGAAAATTTTCAGTATTTTATTTTTTTACAAGCTTACGTTACTTTTTAAATTATCGCGAAAAATTCTATATTTTTTTTATACGATCGTAAAATGATTTAGTATAATTTTTGATAATATATAAATAATAAGAATAAGATTATTTACCCAATGTTGATATTATAATCTTTTATTTGTATTAGCAATTGATTAAATTATTCATTTAAAATTTATTTATTTTGTGCTGCTATATTTGAAATGTTCATATTATTAATTAATCAAAGTTTAATATATTTTCATTAAATTATTATCTTCTTTATCATCAAAATCAAACAGAAAATAATATCTCCCCAAAATCCCAAATTAAATTTGATTCAAAATGAACGGTTATGTGCTTAAAGGTAGAAAGGAATATTTACATTTCAAAATATCATTTAATGAAATTTATTATAGGACCATTCTAATGAAGAATATTAATGACCAATAATTAATTAACATTTCCGTAAATTACGAGATAAATGACGTCTTCTCGATACAACATCATCACCTATTCCAAGAAGTCATTAATTGAATTTTGCATATAATAATAATTAATAGATGGTATTAAATATATATATATATATATATATATTAGAAAAAAATTAATTGAATAATTTTTAATTTGATTATTATAAGAGAAATATAATTATGTTGAAAACACACACACATAATAATATAAAATGATCATATAATATCAGGAATGGTTTAGGATTTCTTGATAAGAAGAATTTCGTGGTATCTGTATGTCCATAAATGTTGCGAAACAAGCGTGTCGAACTTGTATTCCGATGAAACGAAAGCCGTGTTATCGAAGCATCCTACGGGACAAGGCTTCACGATGGGAGACAGTTCACGCGTGGAAATAGGACAAATTGACTGGCCCGCGTTCGACGATAAATCACTATATTCCATTTTAGTGTATTCTCGTTTCTAGCAAGAGAGCTGTTATATTTCCGGCTATTTATATACAAAAATATATATATTTCTTGTGTCGCATTTATACGTATGTGCCTGTGTATGTGTGTGTGTTTATGTGGCTACAGAGAGACGTACACATCTTTTTCAAGGATCACAGATGTGCGGTTTCACTATATATAATAAAACAGGTTTTATATATCAACGTGTTCAGTTCATATAACTCTTTTAAATTATATCTATATTCTACTACCAACATAAAAGTTAGATGCTTTCGAGTTGTATATTACTGTGTACGTGAATTAATTAATTGTTTTTTTTTCTTTTTTATTTTTTGTTTCTCTTCATACACGTTTAGAAAATTTTTATACGATTTGCTTTGCTACATTTTAATGGGATATCTTATTTTTCATTTTTTTTTATATCTAAATTCGAAACAACTTTTTCATTTATTAAATTTGTTTAATTGCATTTAAGGTTTAATTAATTAATTAAAAAAAAAAAACAAAGGAAAATAATTATATACGAATTAACGTACTTGTTTCAAAAATACGTATTTTATTAATTAAAATCGTATAATGAAGTATCGAATTTGTAGATAATCATTTCGGTTAAAAAGTGGCCGAGTTAGTTAGACTAATTATTAATTTTAAGTAGAAACTAGAAGGTAGACGAGAGAGGAAAAATGAAAAGAAAAAAAAAGAAAAATATTACAAGGAAAAAGAAAAAAAATGTTGAGGCTTGTTGGTAATACTAATATTACCATGCTCTCGAGAAACTCACGAAACTCTTTTCTCAAAGTAATGAAATTCGAATGTTAAAATTATTAAATATCTTTTCTCGAAAGAAAAGCAAAAAAAAAAAAAAGAAAAAACATTAGGAAACTTCCGCTAAGTCGTAAAAAGAAAAGAAAAAAAAAAAAGAAGATTAGAAGCTAAGGGCGTTAAATGTTGTGTGGAGGTAGCGTTGAATAGTCTAGTAACTTAATTTATTTTTTCTAGGTTTGTAAAAGGGAAGTTTTCTTCTAAGGTGGATTTTACGGAGGGGGGGGGGGGAAACCCTAAAGGAATTTTCAAGCCTGTCACGTTTCTTGAATTCAGAACCCCTTACGAAATTTCCACGTTTTCGCGGTCGCCGAGGATCCTGGCAGCTTTCAACGGGACTTGGAAGCTCCCACATTTACGTTAAAACGAAAAGGCCTTTAACAAGGAGGAACGCGGTAACGTAGCATGTGCACAATAAAGAGAGAAAAAGAGAAAGAGAGAGAGAAAGCAGAGTCCATTTGGGAATAGTTCTCTCTCTC